CAGAGGCTGATATTTTCAGTCTCCGAGTAGAAGACGCAGCATCTAGCCCAACTGCGCATGCACAAGCCTCACCTAGCCACTCTGCTGCCTCCCAACAGGTAGTAGTTTCACATATAGGGGATATCATACCCACCTCGCTGTCTCCCTACGAAGCAGCTGAGGATTTACTTTGTGGTCTTCCGCCCCAGACCACTACCCCTCCTTCTAGCACATTGAGTCTAGTTTCCACCATCCCAACATTTTCAACATTTTCTAGGACACATACACTGCTCACACCACTGCACACGACAGGTGCACTTTACTTGTCCTCAACGATCGGAGATACGTCGATGATGATCGGAAGTCCTGCTGCTCAACAGATATCTCCATCATTATCTGCAGGCCACACATCGGTAATCTTTACTGATGCTGTGACAACGGTTACTACCCCTGTAACCGGTAACCCTGACCCTACCGACCTTTCTGTCATTTTGCAACGTTTCTTGGATTCCACCATTAAACCATGGGTGCACGAAGCAATAACCGCTCGGGCACAGGAATTCAGGAACACCCCGGCGTTACATAATGACATCATCCAACCCCAACCATCATCCTCACATACCCAACAAACCCAACCACTTCCTATCATACCTACCCAACAAACCTCTGAACCATCCACAACCCTACCCCACTCACCTACTGCTTCAAGGGGAACCCAGGATACAGAACTAGTGTCCTCCCCTACTTCGACCACACCTTTTCCTGACCCTAAAACTTTACCGTTCGAGGTACTCGAAACCCTTATGCTAGATCAACTACTAGCTACCGAAGAAGGCAACCTAACCCAGAAACAAAAAGACCTTCTTCGGATCCTTAAGCCTGACAGCTCATGCCGTGATAGTCTCCTAGGTCACAAACGTTCGCATGAGGACCCCGATGACTCGGATCCTCATGAGGGGGAGAACAAGAGACAAAGGATACTTGAGCGTGATGCGTCAACAAGCCAACCCTCTACACAATCCAACCAACCTGAATCCTCGAACAATCAGCCCCCATCATCCACTCAACATAAAAGCCATTCAGCCAATCAACCCACATCTAGCGCGGTCGAGCTAGAAACAACACTCCTAGGCTCATCTTTCATAGATGTAGACCAAGGATGGAGTGGAAGTCCTGAGGTTGCTACTTCGAGTACACCATTCTATTCAGGCCATCAGAAAGAACCTAGTTCTAATCTGATGATAACGGGCAATCCTGAGGATCCCGGTGTTTCACATGACAGGTCGCCTTCGACACAACAACAAGCTCACTCTAAGCCCTCTGGTAATCAAATGCAAGATGAACTGGAAGACCTTCTAGTTCATGATCAGTGGCCTCGCGAGTGGACAGAGTGGGATGATCTTAGAGTGGAAGCGGAGCAGTACGAAATGTGTCGAAGCTGGCAACTCAGAGAATTCCTCAACAAATATCATGCACAAATGATTGGACTCGATGAAGATGAACTCGAGGAAGGGGAGAATCATAAAGAAAATCCCAAGGCACCAGAACCAGTCAAAGAAAAATGGGAAATTGTTAGAATCAAAGCCCCCTTCCTAGAAGAAATCCGAGAGAAAATCTGGCGACAACCTGAAAAAATCAAGAAGTTCAGTGAATTAAAGATGCGAGGAATCAATCACTTGAAAGGAAAATACCGAGGAGGTAACCTGTATATGCTAGGACACAGATCCACAGGGGAAAGAAGACAAGTTCTAAATCATAATCTCGCAACAAGTGGATGTCCTATATCAAAAATCCTGGATATCACAGAAGACTACTTGGAAACGATTAAGTTCCTGATCTTTCGTCTACGACGTACCGATGGCTCGGAGTTCACCTGTCAAGAGAATGACTTCTTCCTACTGCACATGGATGATATTTATCAAATGTTCATGAGATGCAGGGAGCTCCCAGTGCACAAAGACAGACTTGCTAGAGAAGGTTTTGAGGCCATTAAGAGATTCATGACAAGACAAGTTCGGTTCTACGCCTCCCATGATCTCCAGATGACTCTTGAGCACAATTATTCAAAGGCGAATCTTACACGACCGGACTTGGATAGACCTGGGCTTGAAACCTTTGCAGCATATGATACATTTGACAAGCCCATCTCAGTCATTTATCTGAATCACAAAGAAGAGAAGCGTCTGATGATTGTTGAAGACATTCAAAAATACTGTGATGGGACCCTGCAAATCATCCGAGAACAGCTCCAGCCAAGGAAAGAAGAGCTAGATAAAAGACAGAATGAAGCCTCGAAGGAAGAAATCAAAGAATTGGAAAGAGTCAATAAAATCTTGAAAGCCATCGAGAAACAACTAGACAGAAGAAGGTCTCTCAGAAATTACGAGCATGCACTCAATCTTAGAAAGCATTATTTTAAAGCTCAGAAGTGAAGAAAAGAAGAAGCAAGAACATCTGATCACAAAGGGGGAGATTGTTAGAGATATTTTCATTGTAATTGTGATCAATGTTACTTTGCTAGTTTATAGTTAGTTAGAATAATGAATAGGCCTTTTAAGGCAATTTTGTAATAAAGGTTTTATACCTTTTTAGGTATGGGCCTCCTAGAAAAGGGAGCCCAAATGATTGTAAAACCTACCTTTCCCGTCAGGCTATATATATGCCTTAAGGGAAAGGCTAGGTTAAGCTTTTCGATATTCCTAGTGCCGCAGTGCCTATTCTGTGTAAGGTTTTTACGCTAAAAACTCTCATATCATTCTGTAAAACCTTCACATCAATGGAAAGCTTCATACACAGATCTATCTTCCATACATACATTTTATAGACTAGAAAACAGGGACCTAACAAACAACATACCAACACACGGTTTTACAGCGGGATCACACTCGGGTGTCCAATGCATAGTGGATCCAGGTGAAAGGTGCATTGTTTGGACATCAACGGGTTGGGAAATTGCAGAAGAAGCACTGAAACCAACATCATTTGAATCTGAATGAAAAAGTAAACCATTTGTACACAATCATTCATCAGAATCTTAACATAAGTGAATGCAGTAAAAAATCATTAATTTGAATCTAAATTAAAAGTAAAAACATTTCTTCACATAAACAAACAATGCATTACGTACCACATGTAAGAACATCTAAATAAGTAATTGAGTGCATTAAACAATTCTGGGAAAGCCAGAGTGCATCATGGGAAAGCATTTGGCATCATCATCATAATACATATATTAACTAGGCATATGCATTATTTTGAATCTGAATTAAAAGTAATAACATTTCCTCACATTAACATAATTCACAAATAGTGCATTATGTACCACACATATGAACATCTAAATAATTAATGGAGTGCATTAAATCAACTTTTGAACTACATTCTCATTAAAAAAATGAATTTCATATAAATCCAGACACATCACAGTCAAAGTGCATCATGGGAAAGCATTTGGTAGCATCATAATACATAATATATTCACATATGCATTATGTACAGTAATACTTTGATTCCTCGGGCAAAATGGAGTGGACCTAGGCAATTTCTAACCTTCTAGAATTTTACATACATTCGAGAAATACAGATATAAAAACCAGGGAATAGAGAATTGTTAAAAAATATTCACCAAATATATTCACAATTACATCAAAAACATTGAAAGAATCGAAGAGCACATAAAAACTAAAAAAATAATAGCATAACAAAGAACAGAGGAACGATGCTAACTGGTTTCCATGGCAGAATTATGTTTAACCAGCGTCAAGAAGGGAATCGGCTTGACAGACAGGGACGATGGAGAAGAAGCAGGAATGAAACCGCTAGAGAAAGGAAAGAGAAAAGATGCAAAAATTAATGGATGATCAACAAGGAAAGAAAATTTGAGAAACGGTTATGGAAAGAAGAAGGTGCGTAAATAAAGAAAGCCTTCGTACGTGCGTTGGCTAAAAAAATAAAATGACATGAATAGCCTTTAGAATGAGCAGTTGCACGTGAGATTCAGCACAATATCAGACGGCTCATCTTCATTCTTATTTCTTTCCTGAGATACTATTCTCATTTGAACATAAATCTATATATCTATATATATATATATATATAGGAAGGATCAAGTGAGAACATAAGCCCAAGAGAGAAATAAGAACAAAATTGGGCCCTAGATTCTTCCGATCGTGCGGCTCGCATTCGAGAATTCGGAGGAAAAAAAAACACATGGGGCATGTGTGCTAACTTCGAAATTGGCATGGCTGCATAAAAATAATAGTAAGGGGTATTTGGGTAAAAGACTTCCATGACAGTTGGACCGTACCTACACACATACAGGAAGAAAATCCCATTAGATGGGCATGCTATCATTCACCTATTCGATCACCGACGTCCAATGCTTTTAAAAATTTCTATATGTCACTCTTTCACCTTTTCATTTTCACTTTTTAATTTTTTTCACTTCTAATTTTGATACACCGTTTATTATATTTCATCAATGGAAGGAAAATAAGTTTATCTATTTGCACTACCACCTTGAATAGGTGCACTATTATTGAAATTTATGGAAATATATATTAACTATTCTCGGATATATATTTGATATAAAATACATGGAAATAATTATTTTAATATATTGTAATTAATGTGCACTTTATTTTAAGTGGAAACATTGTTATATGCAAGGATTACAATTTAAAAGTGCAAGGATTACAATTTAAAAGTGCATTTCACTGTGATAACACTGATGTGATTTGTAATTTAAATGCATATTTTATTATAAGCGGAAACATATACATTTTAATTTAGGGGGGTGTATTGAAAATGGATTGTGGTAGACTTTTTTTAATCCATGGACTTCTAAAAAAGTCTACGGACTTTTATATCCATAGATTTTTAGTCCGCTGACTTTTAAATCCGTAGACTTTTAAATCCGTGGACTTTTAAAATGAATGACTTTTAAATGAATGACTTCTATGGATTTCAATAAATCCAGACTTTTACTTGGACTCAACAAACCAGATCCAACTAGACGAGACTTTAACAAAGCAAACCAGACTTTAATAAATAAGAATCGCTCCATAGAAAATATGACAAATATAATAGCTAATGTTCTTTATTCTGAATGAGGTCAAGCATAAGCATTAAAAAATATAAGAAAAAAATGTCATCAGTGCACAAAATGGGAACAAAAGTCTTGTGCTACTGAACTATGGATCAAAATTATTCATTTTCTGCGGCTGCCCACATTTGAGTAGTAAGATTCATCCTCCATTCTTTGGCCTTTTCCCTCTGTTGATCTTATGTCTGAAAATTATCTCATTCAAGATTGTCCTCATCATCGCTAGGTGGGTCTTCTTCTGGGTCCGGAGGAAATTCGTCAGATCGACATTCATGTGAAAATTATATACTCCTGCATCATTGTTAAAATTTACTTTTAAATATATAAAACCCACTTTTATGCTCAATATACAAACCCACATATATAAAACTATGGACTGCTTCTATAATGTGATCCCAAGTCATGAAACAATAAATTAAACCATATAGGAGATGAACTTCTCAACCTTATTGCTAGTGGAGTGTCATAAAACAACATTGCTCAGACCAAAAATCTCCATATTTTGGGTTACGTTGGAAGAAGTTTCATTATGGGAGAGACAATGATAAATTGATTATAAGGGAACAAGATGTTCGATATTGTAAAAAGCAGCAAACAAGAAGTGCTCTTTTATGTCATTAAAAATGTTGACCAATTCAATTTACAAGTTCAAATTATAAAATATACTCGTAGCTTTCACAAGTTCAAAATGCAAGCGGCACAACATGGATAAATCTATCTTCACAAAAACCACACAATATGAATATAATAATAATCAAAAGATCAATTACCATTAGAAGAAAAAGTAACATGCTAAAAAAAGATTCACCATGATTGGGAGCCGAATACCCTAAACCCGGAATAATGATATCACAATTTCTAATAAGCAGCATAACATCGAACTAGGAAGGAATAAGAATAGAAAAATCACAGCATACACCTCGTAATATGTATATATGCGCAGCAGAACATAGAGAAAAGGTGTATAGAGGAAGATCAACAAAAACATACAGAGAAGAAATCCAAAAACAAGTAACATACCTGGGACAGAGTAGTTTTTGGCAAGATGTGCGAGACATGGAAGCAGCGAGAAACCCTATCGAAAGAGTCAGCGTGAAATCTTTGGGGGGAGTACGAGACAATTGAATGGAATTGGTATTTATACCAGTTGTTCTAAAATCCATGAGAATCGACTATTTTTAAAATCCATAGGATTTCTTAATTTTTTGAATACACCCGTATTTCTGTTGACTTTTAAAAATCCGAATTGAATACATCTAAACTTTGATGGACTTTTAAAAGTCTATATTCAATACACCTAGATTTTTAAAATCCATGGACTTCTAATATTTTACCACTAAATCTGGATACAATACACCCCCCTTAATCTTTGTAGTTGTGCACTTTCATGTATTTCTAAATAAAATTCAAAATAAATATATACAGGTGTAAACAAATAGCTATCATGTGCATTTCAAATATTAATAAAAGTGCTCTACGATATCATACTTTGTAAATTCTATGTTGGCACTTTCTAATAAAGCGAAATGCACTTTTATCGTGTATGTTTTAAATATATGCAAAAGTGAACTACTATAGAACTATCACACAATTGGAACAATGCATTAACACTTTTTTTACAAAATAATGCACTTTTTCTTTCTGAAGCGTGGCAATTATCTAACTATGACATTGTCATTCAATGTCACGTGTATCTGCAAAAAAGTAAACTATAAATAATAAAAAGTGTATGAATAAGATATGATAAGTGCATCAAAATATTATTTATTAATGCAGATTATTTAATGCACTCCATTTAAAATTAATGTAATATTTACTTTTCACTTCCTATAGCATCAATCTACACTTTATTTATGCACTTTTACTCATCTTTTTTTGGCTTGTGTACTATGTGTGTTTTAAGTTTTAACTATTGAATTAGTGCACTTTTAGTTAAATTATTTTTGTGCACCTTTCATTTCAAACTTTACTTTCCAAATTCAGTAATTAAGAATATTCTGTTTTGTCTGCACATTAACATTTTATTAAATTCACTTTTAATTGATGCATTATGCACATTTACTTTATATAACTTGAGTTTGTGCTAATATATATTATTTGAATGGTTTTATAAGTGAACATTGAAATTTCTTATACAAGAACACAATGAATCATAATTCTCACGTGAGAGGTGTATGTGTATTCTTACGATGTTCCGTATCTATCACATGAAGATCTATATTAGTGCATCTATTATAGCAGAAAAGTGCAACAGATAGTATTGTGTTAGCGGAAATTGTAAATCTTAAAAAAATGTAAAGCATAGTTATAAAATGATAGAGCAATGAATAATCACTTCAGTGCATTATTTTCTTGATGGAGTGCACAAAACAATGGGTAAAAGTGCACCACTGGATGGCTGAAAGAGCAATGAAGCAACGCCCAAACAAGACAAGTCTCAATCAACATACACACGAATACAGATGTGTAAAAATTGTTTCATCTGAATATCTGGTATAGAAGAATACAAATACATAATCTAAAAACAAAATTGTTCACAATTGAGTTGAATAATTTATGTTAGTGCATTATATACTTGAGAGGGTGAATGCATATATAAGCAAAGGTGCACTTGCCGGTGACTGAAAGAACAACAAATCATCATCCAAATAAGAAAATTTTCAATCGACATAAGCACATATACAACATAAGCCGTATACAAGAATACAATCACATAATCTAAAGGCAAATTATTCACTATTGGATTCATATGCTTATTAAAAAAATCAATTCAACGATAACAATGTAGACTCAAATAGAGATAGTGTAATTAATAATATGGGAAAATCGGATTAATATGTAAATCATACGAAATAACTTACACCCATCCATGGGGAGCATAAGATATTTTCAGAATTTTCAGATTGAATGAGCTCGAGATGAAAATAAACATGGAGTAATCCATGGATGTGATATAATAGAAATTCTGGAACAGAGGAGAGATGAAAGATGAAGATGAGCGAACGAGATGAGAGGCCGTGGAGATGCCACCGACGAAGATGAGAAATTGTGAAGACGTCGCCGATGAAGGAGAGAGAGAAAAAAGAAAAAAGCTTGCAGATGAAGGGTACGAGAAAGATGAGACGGTAGTTCGTTTTCAAAAGAAAAGATACCAAAATGACCTTTATAGTCTCACACGGGTTATTGTATTAATGTAAGAGATTTGTGAAATCTAAGGGCCCTCGTTCATTCTTATTTCTCTCATTAGATGCTATTCTCATATGATCATTATATATATACTATCGTGTGTGTGTGTGTGTGTAGTATATATATATATATATATATATATATATATATATATATACATATATATATATACACACACACATATACGATAGTATATATATACTTCTTATGGGCCTCCTTGGGCGAATTAGGCCCACCTTGGCATTTTGCTGTCTACATTCCCCTTTCTAATTTCATCAGACCGGTTTATTTCCAATGTAATTTATTTTCATCCTATTAATGTAACACAAACGGATGTTTTAATAAACTAGGTAAATGTTCCCCGACATTTACCCCATCGAAGTGATGGATTTTCGGTTTGGGGGGGAAAATGGAATTTTATCAATTCAGGACCCGAAAGTTAAACGAATTATCAATCCGCGACCTGAAAGATGAAATGCATCGATATAGGACCCGAATGATGAAAAACTATCAATTTAGGACCTGAATGATTGAAAACTATCAATCTAGGACCTAAGTTTTCATAAATTTTGCAATTTTTTTATTTTGAAAATTTTAAATATTATTTAGTTTTATTAAACTAATAAACTTTTATGAAGAAAAGTCTATAAAAAATTAGTAATGGAATTAATAAAAAATTAAACAAATCAAAACCTATGAAATGTTAGGTCCTAAAATGATAATTTCCCATCATTCGGGTCCTGTATCGACATGTTTCATCTTTTAGGTTCTGAATTGATAGTTAATCTATCTTTCGGGTCTTGAATTGATAAAATTCCAATATATAAATAAATATATATAGGGGATACACACACACACATATATACATACTGAGGAATGATCCTGTCCAGCCGGAGGGACATGATCCGCCGTCCGGCCGTCGCGGCCATTTGGGGCCCTTCCCGGTGGAATTTTTTGAGCATGGTCTTCATGAAGTCTAGTTTATTCATACCAAATTGCAGCTAAAAATTCATTCCGGAAGGCAGTCAAATGATTTTTGGAAGTTAACTGCGCAGTTTATATACATATAAAACGTCTTCCAAAAATGATTTGAGTGCCTTCCCGGTTGAAATTTTAGCTGAAATTTGGTATGAATAAACTAGATTTGATGAGGAATATGTTAAAAAAATTTCATCAAAATATATCACCGGGAAGGGCCTCTGATGGCCTCGGCCGGACGGAGCCTCCCGTCCCTCCGGATGGACCGATCTTTTCTATATATATACTATCGTATATATTACATATATTTTTATATACTACGTACTACCTCAGTTCCTAAAAATCCTTCCCGATTTGACACGTCTATTAAGAAAGTGGAATAAAGTGAAAATGTATGGTTGTGGTTGCGTAAGAAAAATGTAAAAAGAATGTAAGCCATACAAATTGGCCAAAAAAAAATGTGAAATATTTTTAAGAAGGGTCCAAAAAGGAAAAAGGAAGGCTAGAAGTATTTTCAGAGGGAGTATTTATTTATTTATACTTCGGCTTCTCCATCCACAACTCCTGCTCCGCAACAATGGGCGCGCCGCTTCCTCCCAAAGAGGCCAACCTCTTCAAAGCTGTGGTTGTGAGTTTTAATATTCTCTATGCTCCCCGAAGTAACATGCTTGTTTAATCACTGGAATTCCTCTATTTGTTTTGTAATTTAATGCAGACACTAACCCTAGATTTCATGCTTACGATTGGACTGATCAGTTTGGCTTCTACTCCAGCTGCGATTATTGATTTTTATGCTACTTGTGCAATTTCGGCTTAGGTGGAGCATAATAGTAGTTGAACATTTTTGGTCAAAAATATGTTTTTGATTGGGGGAATATCAGCTGCCAGTGAGAAGCGTAGCATTTTCAGTAGGGGTCGGCATTTCAGTTGGTTTGACGGAACCAACCGAACTAGTCCAAACGGAAACCAATTAACCCACCCATATGGCCATATGCAATCCAAACTGAGTTTGGACAAAACTAAATTGAATAAAAATATAACAAAATGGTAATGTAATTCAAAAAACAAAATGAAACTGAACCAAACTGAACATAGTTTGGTTTCAATTTGGTATTAATTTCCCAAATCCATTTTACACTGAATCTTAAACCATAAAGAACCCAAACCCTCGAATTGTGCTAGTGGAATTTCTCTTTTTTGAGCGGCGAGTATAGTGAATAAAGTTACAGAAGAAAATGGTTCTATACAACAACAACATACAAGCATTATTCCCAAGAGTTTGAGGTCAAACATATGAATAGTCATATGATAGTAGAGTTAAACATTAGATGGAGAAAGAGGAAGTCAAACAACATAAGATCAATCCTCTCAACGTATGCAATACACTCTCCCTCCACTTTGCCCTTTCCAACATCATGCTCTCGTCTAACCAAAATAGTATCACAATCCAAGTCTGTCTTGGTCTAAGAAAGCGGTTCTATATTTACATTATTTTAGCAGTGTGTTTATTCGTGAGAGGATGCATTCTTCCGATTCTTTTTGACTGGTTTGTCCCAGTTGATCCTTCGGCGTGTGCAGGTTTGAATAACATTCAATCTACACGCAAAAAAAGAACTGCATCAGCAGAAATCTGGAAAATTAACTTGGGGGAGTCATGTCATTCTGAGACTAGTACTTCTTGATAAAATTGTATGTGTTAAACACATATAAATGTAGTGTTTTGTTTTTGAAAGTAATAGTATTATATACGGAGTATATAACAAAATTATTATAGTTACAAATGCCTTGGTTTGTCTTTTTTGATGAAAAAAGATTTCCTTCACGGTCAAAGAGATCTGCCCTCTTTTCAACAGTCCATTATTTCTAACTGTGAGACGGTCAAAGAGATCTGCCCTCTTTTCAACAGTCCATTATTTCTATAACCTGATGTCTTGCGAGTTCTAGAGTGATGTACTAATGTTAACTATGGGATTCATGCCGTATGCACCTTGCTGATCAAACTAGGAGTTTTTTTCCCTTTATGAATTCCGCGTTGCATTACTCTTGCTTCCTAAAAGTTGATTAAAAAACATACTTTGCGGAATGTATTTTTTATGGCATGCAGAAATCATATGAGACGAAACAATATAAGAAAGGGCTAAAAGCTGCAGAGGCCATACTTAAGAAGTTTCCTAATCATGGAGGTATTTGAATTTTCATTAAAGAGTGTAAACTTCGCACTACAAACTCTATTAATGTTTAATCTTCCTGATTTATCAGAATTAATCATTTAGCAAGTTAGTAACTTCCTTACGATGTTCTTGTAAGAGAGAGTATTACTTGCGGAACATGAGTTGGCAAAACATACTAGAGGATGGATCTACTTTTAGAATCTCATCCATGTTATCTTTTAATGGAGTTGCAGTATCATTTGCTATAATTATTTTGTGTTGATTTTATGAGTTTTTCAACATCTGCATGGCCTCCAGAAACCCTGGCAATGAAAGGATTGACATTAAATTGTATGGGTCGCAAATCAGAAGCATATGACCTTGTTCGGATGGGATTGAAGGTACTTTGATTTGCCGACTTCTCCATTTATATTTTTTCTGTTTTTGTTCAATATGCTAAGTATAAAACTATAAATATATAATTATTTGTATATATTTACTTTTATATATAATATAATTTTCATCATGATCTACTTCTCATCTCCGTTTGCAGAATGACCTTAAGAGCCACGTTTGCTGGCATGTTTATGGTCTTTTATACCGGTCAGACAGAGAATACAGGGAAGCAATAAAGTGCTATAGAAACGCACTTAGAATTGATCCTGACAATATTGAGATATTACGGGACCTATCTCTTTTGCAGGTGAAGACTTTCACCCTTATATCATAAAATGTACTTCAAAGAGGCCAATTATGTGTGGAGTCAGAAACTGCCTGCCAGGCTGTCACTTTTAAACCCTTAAAAGTCCATCAAGTGTGATGAGTATGTTAGAGATATAAATTCACATATTGGCACGCTTTAGGTTTTGATTGGGGGATGTGTAAGGGCTGATTTAAGTGAAAATGAATTCAAAGAAAATTGCCATGTTCACGGTAGATAGTAATGTGATACAAAGTTGTTGAGTTGTTCCATTGCTGACATCTTGATTCTTGTCCATGTTAATAGCATGTATGTCATAGAATTTGGCTGTGTATATAGGACCTATTGGCTTATTGCCATTTGCCTCCAATATTGCTCATGAGTCAGGGTCTGCCTTAATATACTCAAGTATTACTGTTGTATATGGTCTTTTCAATTACTTTCAAGTAGATGTTGTCCCATTTCATTAGGGTATAAGCAACAATTGCCGATCAAGTTCCTCACATACATTTCTGTATTTGATCAATATATCTTGTTTGTGTGCCTATCATATACTTGGATAATCTTAAGAAGAGAATAGTTGGATTTCCATGCTTTAGTGTTCTCCATCATGTACATTTTATTATTTTCCTATTAGCTATGATCATTTATTTTCAGCGTTATTCTCGGTGTTCATGGTGCGAATCTAATCACGTTTATAGTCATCATCATCATTATTGTTGTTTGGCTTCTTTCCGTTTTATTTTTTCCTATTAATTACCACAGGCACAAATGCGTGACTTAACGGGCTTTGTTGAAACAAGACTACAACTGCTGACATTGAAGCCAAATCACCGTATGAATTGGATTGGCTTTGCTGTTGCACAACATTTAAACTCAAAGTATGCTTCCCTTCACTTTGTTGGATTTAGAGTGCCATTTCAGATTCCCGACTTGAACAGTTCCGTAATCAGTTTGGTTGGGTGGTTCTCATTGAATTTGTTATCCTAGCTTATTGTATGCACATTTGTCTTTCTTCTGATTGAGATATTTCATATAATTTCTCTACGGGTATAATATATTTTACAATTTTGTACTCAGTTAAATTTCTATTTATTAAGATAATTAG